TTTAATAGCCCTAATTGATAGGCTTACAGATCATATCTTTCAGTCCCCACTTGTGTGTGGGAGGTGGGGGCGGGACGCCCTCCCTTTCTCTTGACCCCTGGGCTCCAGCCCGGCCCTCTTGGAAGGAGGCTGGCTGGCTGGTGAGAGGCCCTGCCTGCGTCCCTCTGTTTGTGAGATACCTGCGGCCTATTGTGGGCTGACCAGGAAGCCTCGCTTTGTGCTGGCCATTGACACAGCTGCACACTCAGTAAATACACTCAGATGTGGAGCTTTTGTTGCAAGGGTCTTTTCAGATTGATGCAGGGAGAATTAGTTTTTAAAACCTAAGCTGGAGGCAGGACGAGTAGAATGCGGCTGGGAGCCCCTGAATTCACATCCACAAAATGAGACCAACTGTCTTACAAGGGTGTTTATCACCTGATCATTTTGGAGGAACCCCAGAGGGGAGAGGCTCCCGCGATCCCCGGCTTGAGGTCTTTACTCAGCCTTTGTGAAGGGAAGATCTGACCGCGGTCACCCCTGGGGTTGTAACTTCAGGCTCCAAGGGGAGACTGATAGTCCCATCCCTGCCAAGGGAAGGCAAGGAGTGATTTGAGTTCTTAAGTCCAGGCAAGGAGTGATTTGATCCTGATAAAGGGTGGGTAGGATCTCTGGCACACTGCAAGGACCATTTCCTGGTGAAACCCAAGCACAGTCAGTCATGGCTCCTAAAGGTGACAGTCTCTGGGGGTGGGGCCGTACCTTGGGGTCCTCCTAGACCTGTCACATCTTGCTCAAAACCTTGTCATTAAAAGCTACGACTGATGCCTCTGTGACCCTCAGACTTGATTTCCTCATGATATAAATTGGGAATGATTGTTCTTTGCTAATATTTCTATTTACTTAGAGAAGCAACTTGATGCGATAGAAAGACAGATCTGAGTTCAAATCCTGCCTTGGCTACTCACGAGCCAGTGGCTCTTAGAGGAGTCCCTGCTCTGGGCACAGGTGTGTTTACCATGACAAGGTGCAATAGCTTGAGACTAGAGTTTGCCTGGCATGCAGGGGGTCCTGGGTTTGATCTTTAGCACGATTTAAAAGAAACGGGATGTCTTAGAGTGAAGTTGTCAGCCATCAACAGAGCTTTGCCTTTTCACTTCTCTGTGAAAATGAGAAGTTCGTAGCCTGAAATATCATAGAGCCTTCATTATATCCTCACGAAGTCTGTTTTCCAAAATTGTTCTTTTTCAGATTTTATTATTTATTTATTTATTTATTTATTTGAGACACTGTCTTGCTATGTAGTCCAGGCTGGCCTTGAATCCACAGAGATCCTCCTGGCTCAGCCTCCAGAGTGCTGGGATTATAGGCATGCATCACCTCACCTGACGAAACTGTACTGAGCTACAACTATATTTTTTTGATGGTGCTGTGGATTGAACCCAGGGACTTGCACATGCTAAGCAAGTTCCCTAGTGCTAAGCTACAGCCCCTTCTTATTTTTTTTAAAGTTTAAGGAAAAAACCCAGATGGAAAGAGCACCTAGTGAATTACAAATACATACATGTGTGAAGCAAGCTTCCTTCATACTACATCATACTAAGCATGTAGTAAATACCAAAGAAGGCCGCTTGAGGGTTCTAACCCTGTCAAATCCTCCTCTTCTCTGTCCCAGTGTCTGAGCTGTCACCACCACATCCTTACCACCGCTCCCCCAAATACATACCCACTGTCTTGGAAAAGACTCCCAGTAAAGCAGCAATGAACTGGAAGGGTCCAAAAGGAGGGGAACCCGGCATCAGCATCACAAGAAGGGAACCATCTCACCAAGGAAGACGGTGGACACGGCTATGCCTCCTTCCTCCCTCTGGGATTCAGAGAGGACACCCTTCATCTTTTCCTTCACAACAGCCTGTCCAGATGCCGTCTCCTGTGTCCTCCCAGGAGCAGGTCCTACAGAAGGGTGGGCACACCTGAGCCAAGCACAGGCTTGCTGTGAACCATGGCCCCTGGCCAAGACAAGGACAGGGACTTTCCCGCCCTAGTGATCCCTCTGGAGCCAAGCATTAAGCGACTGACTGGAAAGGGAGACAGGAGGCAGAAAGCCCGGGGTTTGAACCTGCTCTGACCACCAGGAATCCATAGGCCTCTTAGACACCTAGAAAAGAAAAGTCTGGAAAAGAAAACTGAGTTTGATAATGAACACATGGTTGCTTGAGTTTTAAATGACAAAATCTATACAAACATGGAATACTGGTGTCACTTTCTTTGTGACAGAGAAGACAAGAAACTTTTTCCTCTGACCAGCAGCCTCCTCTGTGCAAAGAACAGGGACCGGGATCAGAAGGGCTGTGCTGCACCCTGCAGAGACCCGGCTAAGCCTCAGTTTCCCCCTCTGCAAGAAGGGATGGAATTCCTCCCCAGGCGTCCTTCTCAGCCCACCCTGACGAGGACACTACAGAGAAAGGAGGGTGAGTTCCCTGCCTGTCCCAGGGCCTCTTCTGGAGCCCAGGAATGAGGTCTGTGGCCCTCCAGAGGGTGTGGGAGTGGTTCCTCAAGAAGGCTGGCATTTCTGCTTCCTAACACACTTCCCCGGGAAGCATCAGCCACTGTAGCATCCTCACAGATATGCGATGTCACAACGAAGGCGATGGAATGGAGGAGTGCTCGAGAATGCAGAAACAGAGTGACCAAAGACAGGTGTGTCCTGATGAATTAAAAAAGGGTGAAGAGGGGCTGGGCATAGAGCTCAGTGGCATAAGCACCTGCCTGTCAAGCATAAGGTCGTGAGTTCAATCCCCAGTACCACAAAAAAATAAATAAATAAAAATTTAAAAAACTAAAAATAAATAAAAACTAAAAAAGGGGAAGAAAGAGCCAGGCACACACACCTGTAAGTTCAGCAGTCTGAAAGGCTGAGACAGAATCACAAGTTTGAGCCTGGCCTGGATCACTTAGCACCCTGTCTCAAAATAAAAAATAAAAAGGACGAGAGATGTAGCTCAGGCCCTGGGTTCAGGGCCCGCTACCCAACACCCCCCCCCAAAAAAAAGCAGTTGCAGGAGTTGCAAAGGGTCACCTGACAACCGCACACGTATAGCCTCAGCCTTGATTCTGCCAACAAGTTAGCTAAGCCATGTGATCAAGTCACCTAAGGCAGTCACCTTAGGCAGTCGCCTAAGGCCCCCCTACTCTGGGCCGCAGTCTCCCCATCTGTGAAGAGAAGGGACAAAAGCAGAGAGCTAAAGGATCACCTTCTACACGCTGAACAGCTGGTGTCACTCTGCACATCCAAGGCTCTGCAGCCTGATTTCAGCAACGCTTATGATTATGAAATCCACCTCGGAAGAGCCACCTTTGGTTAGGAGGCTTCGGGTCTTCAAACCCAGTTTCTGACTCTAGCTCCTTGGCCAGATGCCTGCTTACTCAACCCACCCAGAAGCAGACAGAGTGGCTTTGGGAAGAGACCAGGAATGAGGGCTGGGCAAGGCCAGGCTGGGCTCGCTCTGCCCCGGAAAGGCCGCCCAGAGGGGCTGGAATCAGAGCCGGGTCTCCAGGCTGCGGGGCAGGCCTGGTGGATGGGCTTTCTAGACCGCGGCTGCAGCCCGCAGCCTAGGACCTGGTGCTCATCTGGCTGGGTAGCAGCTGCTCTGCTACAACAAACCATCCCAAAGCTGCACTTGACTTAAATTCCACCGACAGTTATTTCCGGCTCATTCACAGGACCGCAGGGGAGAGCTGTCGTCTACCCTGGTTTAAATGTTTGAGCTGAGTTGTGCATAGTGGTGCACACCCGTAATCCCAGCACTCAGGAGGCTGAGCCACAAAGGGTGCCACTGAGGCCGGCCTGGGATCTAGAGTAGGGAGCTTGAGCTGAGTGAGGCTCTGCCACTGCTCTCTTCTGGTTTTTTTGAGACAGGTTCTTGCTATGTAGTTCCAGCTGCTTTGACCTCAGGGCGATCCTCCTACTCAGGCTCTTCCCGAGTGCTGGGATTACAGGCGTGTGCCACCGCACCCCACAGACTTTGCCACTTTTACCGTTGAGCTTCCGAAGGTGCCCAGAGGGTCATGCCCATGGCCTCGGGTCTGCGGCCCTATTTCTCCACCCCCAACTAGCTGGGAAAGTTACAGGTCCACGTCTGACTCGAAGGAAGCCTAAGAAATGGAGTCAAATCGTGTATCCAGGAAACCTCTGGCAATGTGGATTCTGGGAAACTGCCAGCTGCTTCTGTCACAGTGGATCCATGCCTGGGGCCCTGCTACCGGGCAAGACATTGGAGACAGGAATGGAGTTCTGGCACCTAGGAGCAGCCTTCTGAGGGACAATGGGACCGCAGGGTGATTCAAGCTTTTTTTTAAATTTTTTTTGAGGGGCTGGAGGTGGGCCCAGGGCCTCTCTGCATGCCAGGCTAGCCCTTTACCATGGGCTATGTAACAGCCCTGCGCATTTCCCCTTCAGCAGCCGGTTTTATTACAATGTGCGGGAGCAGCGCACAGGGTGGGGAGGACCTCCGCTTCTCCCTTGTGTATTAGAGGGAAAGATGAAAGGTTGGAGAAGCCTGACTCCGCGGCAGGCCTCAGGACTCCCAGGGTGGCGTTTGGAAACCCTGGCTTCCCCTGGCACGGCCCCAGCCCTGGCCGCTCCTCCTGCTGTGTTCAGCCCCCTTCTCTGGGCCCACATCCACAGGCAGACCCGCCACGTTGCCCGTCACCTGGGCTCCGAGCGGGGCCTGCGGGCCACTTGGGGCTGAGTTATAGGTGGGAGCTGATTCAGGAGTTGGGCACAGCCCGTGGCTCTGATGGGATTTCATCATCGCCTGTGCGATGCAACATGCCCAGAGAGAAACCCGGGCATCTCCTCCCTGCTCAAGAGAAGGACCTGGTGAGGAGGGGGGTCCCAGAAACAGCCCAGACGCTGACCCCTCACCCTCGTCGCACTTTCCCAAGGAGCGGGGACAAGATGACGGAGCAAGCACGAGTCAACACCAAACAACTCGTTAATGACTTTATGGCAGGTAAAATAAAATGTCTCAAATAAAACGACAGGAGACCTTCTTTAACCTTCCCCAGCCGTAAACGTGTATTAACTCAGTACTATCAGCAATTAAGGTCTAGTTTGGGAACTGCGGCCTGAGACAAAAAGACATTATCATCCCGGGAAGCGGATCCGAGGAAAAGGAATTTATCCCACCTTAGCTAATGAGCGGCGGTATAGGGATGGAAATGAAGGCCTTTGCCTCGGAATTGCTTTTGACCGTTCCTACCCGGGCTGGAGAAAGGGTTCCCCTCCTCGGCCAGCTCTCCGGAGCACATCAGGGACATTGTTACAATGCAAATGAGAAAGACCGCCCTGTTTGGGTGGTTTATGGGTTTAGTAAAAGGAGTAACATTTCAATTAGTGAGGAAGGAATGAGAACCTGCCTGAAAGAGGCTTAATTGGCAACTTGGCTTTCCCAGCAGCTTTGAAGTAGCCTCGGAGCAGGAAGGTTTTCAGAGATGGGTGGAGAAAACAGAGCAACTTAGGGCCCCAGGCTGTGCAGACGGGGGTGCTGCGAAGAAGGTAAAGCCCAGGGCGGGCGCCCACTCGTCTCCAGGGCTTCCAGGCAGCTCCCTTCCTCCCCTCAGCCCCCACCCTATCCCCACTCACCCCAGCGCCCCTGAGAGCCTGGGGACCCTCCCTTTCTAAAACCACCTCGCTTTAGAGACTGCGGCCCTAACCTCACCGTTGTGGAATTCCTTTCTGTTCTCAAGAGTCCCTTTTGCTGGGTCTCTAAGTCCAGCCCACAAACTGGGAAATGCAGCTCCTAATTGCAGTGAGTTATTGGGGGAGGGTGCTCCGTGTGTGCGTGCGTGCGTGCGTGCGTGCATGTGTGTATGTGTGCTTCCAAGCACTGTGACTCATGTGTGACCCTACCTCAGGGTGAGGGAATGGACAGGTGACTGTTACGGTCCCCCTCTAATTTGTCCAGTTCCACAGGCTTTCAGACCTGCCTCATCCTGCTCTGACTTCTTTCTTGCTGTGGCTTCCCCGTGCGGAGGCGAGGCCTTTCTCCATGTGCCGCACGCTTGCTGGGCACTCAGATCTTCACTGACGGGAGATTTTCTTTCTCAGTTCACCAGATAGGGGTAATATTTTTGTTTTGCTTGGGGACCCCTCCAGAGGAAATGTTGCATGCAACATGCCCAGATCTTTGAAGTCTGGAAGGAAATCCAGCTAACCCTGTGTTTTAGCTGAAAGACAGCAACGTGACCAAGGGTCTGGAGAGTTTTCCAAACCAAGCCTCCTCCGTGGTGTGCTCTGAGTTTGGAAACCCCACAACGGAGACCTTCCCAGGGACCTGGGGCTTCCGCCTCGTCTTCACGCAGACCTGGAGAGGGTCGCGCTCAGCTCCCTGCCCACCTGAGCAGCTGTGAACTCCACTTAGCATAGAACCCTGCAGCGGGGGTGCAGCCGTCCTATGGGCCTGATCGTGCAGGGGTCTGAGCCAACTTTCTCTCTGTATCCCCCCTCCTCCTGTGGGTGGCTTCTCTGGCTCCCATCTCTGGAGCCTGTGGTTTGTGGATTGTCACTAGCCAACTTCAACAGGGCTTGGGGAGTTGGTTTTGGATCTCACATGGGAACTGGATGTAGGCCCTGAGTAATTCTCCTCTCTTGGCTGGTCTCAGCCTGTGGCCTGTCACTTTACAAGCGATGCCACTTCCTACCACCCTCGTCTGGTTGTCTTGTGCCCCACCACACCCCGGCCTCTTCCTCTGCTGTGTCTGCTGACTCAGATGGATGGAACACACAACTGTGTCCTCCCGGCACACTTCTGGGCACCAGAGGGCTGAGCTGAACAGCCGGAGTGACCCCTCTGAGCCCGCTTATCACTGCGAAGAACAGGAACCTGGGGCTCAGACAGCAGGGTCCACTACTGATTCCTGTCGTGAGGGAACAGAAAATACCACGCTAGTAGCCCAGCGACTTCAGCCACAGCTGTGTGGCTCTTCATCTCCTAAATGACACAAAGGGGTGATCAAAAAATATGATAAACATTTAAATTTTTAAAAATGTATTACAGTAAAAGACACGTTGCCATTAATCGCCCTCAAAATATTGTGGCTCACTTCAAACACACTTATCCCACTGTTCTTGCCACTTTCTGAAGCATTTCTGCAAGTCCTTTTTCGTGAGGCTCTTTATGAGACATGATCAAAATACAGTGAATGCTGCCACTCCACAGAAAGGGAAGCCCATAGCAACACGGCATTGTGTCTTCCTCCACCTTACTCACTGGATGTGGCACTCTGTGACTTCCAGCTCTTCCCCAAAATCAAAATGACTCTGAAAGGTCAATTTTTTTTTTTTGTCTTTTTGAGACAGGGTCTCGCTATGCAGTTCAGACTGGCCTTGAGCTCACTTTGTAGCCCAGGCTGGTCTCGAACTCACAGTGATCCTCCTGCTTCAACCTCCTGAGTGCTGGGATTACAGGCATGTGCCAACATGCCTGGCAACCATGTGTCTTAACATAACAAACTTTTAAAAATGTAAACATCGTATTTTTTGCTTATACCTTGTATCATTGACTAGCTGCTTTGGGACAGCACGAAATCCATTCATGGACAGAGCCTTCATAATGTCCTGCTGGGATGTGCATGAGAAACCGAGGCTTGGAGAGATCCACTCCAGTGCTCTCAGGGAGCACAGGACCAAGCAGAGAACCAATCCCAGGGCCTCTCACCTCCTGTCTGGCACTTGGGTTTGTGAACCCTGCAAGGCAAGACAGACAGAAATATGCTTAGAAGCCAGAGCGGCCTCCAGTGCTTGCTATCAATGCCAGGTAGGGCACTCAAGATGTCACTATTTCCTCTGCTTTACGAAAGGAAGCCTTTGCATTCTTTGTCCTTATTTTCCAAACATACTTTCCAATATGCAAATAACGTCCACCCCAACATCACACAGTACAGGACACATCACCATGCGTCCCCACTGCTGGAAGGAAAACTGGGTCTTCTAGAGGGTGAGCAGGTTCCCTGTGACACCCTCCTCACAGGGCCCAGACAGACCTGCAGCGCTGAGCGGGGCTCCCACCCCTGGTGGGGTTCCACTTTCCCGCAGGAAACTGTGTGGCTGGACTGCACCTCCTCATGGACTCCTCTTTGGGGCCTGCGAAATCAATGTGCTCTGAGCGGAGTTTGCATTGACACAACATCCTTGTCGCCTCCTCTCGTCACGCCCCTACCGAGTCCTTGGGGCGCCCCACCCCACTCCCCAAATCCCTGTGACTGATGCGGCTCCAACAGCAACCCCCACAAGCTTCCCTCCCAGGCAGAATTCAGGGCATCATCAACGCCGCACCGGGCGCAACCCCACCCTGTCCCCAGCAGGACCGGGCCCTTCAGCCTCCTGTTGGAAAGGCACGGGGCACAGGAGAACACATCAGGCCGCCTGCGGTCACAGAGAGGAGATTAAGTCTCTTCATAAGTTTTGCTGCTTGGGAGTTTTTCTGGAAACTCTTAAGAATTGGGGATTTTTTTTAAAAAGTGAATGGTTAAAGATGGAAAAGGTGAACTAACCCCGGGCATCCCCTTCCCCAGACTACAGTCTCAGAGGAAAGCAGATCGCAGACAATATTTCAAAGAAGAGACAAGCAGCAAGTCGGCCCCCAAAGGAATGAGGAAGAACTGCTTCCCTAAAAACAAGAACACACATAGGAGACGTGCGCTGCTTGTGTCCGACCTACCTCACGCTTCAAATTTACTGATACTGAAACATTGCTATCAATGCCAGGTAGGGCACTCAAGAAAGACTTTAGAAAGACTTTCTTTCTAAAAGGGAGAGATGAGTTCTGTGGGTAGAGCCAGCTCAAGCAGGTAGCTCCATGGAAGAATCCGTGTAAATGGTCTCCTGCGGCCTTTGGAGAACTGCATCACACACAAACGTGTAGGTGCGTCCACGCACATGGTGCAACCATACTATGCATAAAGCCTGTATCTTAGCTCCAGCTCCCACCTACCCCTCTTCTGGAAAGTGGCAAGGGCTTCCGACTGCACATGCTCTTGAGCCAAGCTCACAAGCTGTCTACAAGGCAGAAGGGACCCTTCCTCCCTTTGGCTGAAACCACCCCCCAGGGCCCCCACTGCCCACAAGATGAAACCCACACGCTGGACAGGAAGCCGCTGCCGCCCTGTCCTCTCTCTGTGCCTGGAGTTTCCCACCATGCATCCCATGCTCCAGCAACACAAGGTTCTTCCCACCTCCTGCTCGCAGCACGTGACTTCCTCCTCCCTCGTCGGCTAAGCTGGGTCCTCTGCAGGAGCCCGGCTGGCCCTAGAAGCCTCCCCAAGGGACAGCCTCCCCCAGCCTCGCCTTCTCCCGCCATGCCCTGGGTGTGGTGTCCGTGACCAGCCCTTGGAATGGTTTGTCTTAGTGTCTAATTCTGCTACCATCCTTCGAAACAAGACCAAGTGTTTAATGAAGAATAAAATACATCAAAAATTACCCAACCCCTAGCCAGGCATGGTGGCACATGCCTGTAATCCCAGCACTTGAGCAGCTGAAGCAGGAGGATCACTGCCCCTTTGAGGCCAGCCTGGGCTACAAAATGAGTTCAAGGCCGGGCTGGAATCCATCGCGAGACCCTGTCTCAAAACAAACAACAAAATAAAACAAAGCCAAGCCAAGTCTTGAGTAAGCAGCCTGCTGCATGTTTTGAAACCTTAACCCGCACCCAGAACAAAGCAAGCGGTTTGTTTTGAGATCAGAGGCCAGGCGCAGTTTGTCTTTGTAACCTCGGTCCCAGCGCAGTGGCTGGCATGAGAAACGTACCTCACAAAGGGGTGCTGACCGGCTCGACGAATGGTTACCTTTCCATCTCTTTGTCTGTGTTTCACCCACACATCCTTTCTCCCACTTGGCCTGAGATGCCCGAAGGGATAATTCAGGATTTCTTTTCCAGGCTCTGAGAGCAAACATCCCGAATGATGAGCGCTGTGGAGAAATGTTGGGAATCAGGACGGATGGATGGTGACTGCTGACACGCTCCATGGCAAGCTCCAAGCCCAGCCGCAAGAGAAGATGAAGTGCTTCCTCTTAGTAGACCTGGAGCGATCGTCTCAGCCGCCAGTGCAAGTCACAGCACCTGTCTCAGCTAAGGACCAAGGACCAAGTCTCTACAGAACAGCACGCTGCAGCTGTTTTGCATTAGATCTGAGAAAAGGAACAGGCAGTGTCCGTTCTTCCACACTGAAGGAGAGGCACCAGGTACTCAGGGCCACCTTATGTCAATAGCTGTCACCGCACTGCCGGGCAGCGGGTTTGTGCTTCCTCCACACGTGTAAGCTGTCACAGCGTGTATTCAGTGGGTGCTCCTCGAATACTAACAGACTTCTCCCCGAAGTCCACAAGCATTAACTCACCTACCATTGAGTTAGCACGTGATTTAAGCCACTGACATTCATACAACTTGCCCTCATTAACACATTTATTCTTCACTGTTATTCTCTCTGGTGATCTGATCCCTTTTTTTACTTTTTTGAGAAGGGGTCTCACTACGTTGTTCAGGGTGGACTTGAACTCACTACGTAGCCCAGACCGTCCTCAAACTGGCAGCAATCCTCCTGCCTCGGTCTCCCGGATGCTGAAATTACAGCTATGTACCACCACACCCTGAATTCTCAGGGTGGATTTTTTTTTTTCCCTACAGAGTTAGAGCTCCTCATTCATGTTAAGCCAAGGACTTATTATAAAGGAGTATTTGGGGGAGGCTCACAGCACATGAGGGTTGCAGCCCTGGAAGCATCCACTCCTTCCCGGGTCCCAGGGAAGCAGAGCCTTCAGAGGGGGGCAGGGGGAGGAGCTAGAGGAAGCCTGGAGGAGGGAGGCCATCCTGCTCCCTCACTGCATGGAAGTTCCTCAGAGACAGACCTGTGTCTTAGCCCCTTCTCTCCTCACTGGGACAAAATAACTGACAGTCGCAACTTAAGGAAAGAGCGATTTATTTGGGTCCTGGTTGCAGTCCATGATCACCTGCTTCCAGGGAAGACCTGGGATGGCTAGAGGGGAGGGTGACAAACAGCTGCTCCCTCCGTGGCATCCAGAAGCAGAGAGAGAAGGGCAGAGCCAGACGAGAATATGTCCTTTCCAAGCACACTCAGTGACCTCACCACACAGGCCCTGCCCTTCACAGCACCGCAGCCCTGAGCCCGCAGCTGTTGAGTCTGCCAACTGACAAGTGCACGGCCCGCCCGTGTGACCCAACCCCCGTCCTGCACACGTGGGAATTCGAGATCACACTTCAGATAACAACCATAACAATGTGTCATTCCCACAGCCCTGGACAACCCCAGGAAGGGACATTCTGGCTCCATTCAGACCAACCACCCAGCAGAGGCCTAGTTAACACTCACCAACATCTGAGCTGTCTCCTGGCTCCAGGGCAGACACAGAATCACTCTGTTCCCAGGCCTCCCTCTCTCCCCGCACCCTTCCCAGACCGCCCATCTGCCTTCTCTTCACCCACTGCCCTCCTCCCTGGGCTCCTGATGTCTACTTCATCCTGTTTCTGTGCGTTATGGTTTATATGTGGATGTCCCCAAGGCCTCATGCAAACATAATGCTATTGGGAGGTGAGGTCTGGCGGGAAGTGGTGAGTCCCTGGGGGCGTGGCCTGGACCGGCTTAGCTCTCTTGGCTTGAGCTCTCCACCATGTCCACCATGTCATGAGCAGCTTCTCTTCCCTGATGCCCCTCTGCTGTGCCACTCTGCCTTGGAGCCACCCAACTATGGACTGCGTCTCAGCAACAAAAACGTGACTAAGACACTGTGTATCCTCCAGGTCAGTATATGTTAGTGATAGTCATTATGGTGGAGAAGAACCATGTTCAAGGAATTCTGAACCCTTCAGGTTTGGTGCCAATGGGAGAAAATGTGGGAAAGGAAACCCACACATCTGTGAACATTCTAGAATGTTTCGTGCAAGAGCTGCCCATAGAACCAAGAGAGCGCCCAGGCAATGTCAGTTTTCCTGAGATTCACTCGTTCTGTCCCAAATAAAGCTTGACTCACCAAAAAATAATCCAGGTCACCATTCCTGCTTCTCTTCTGCTTCTTAGGGGCCCCCAACCCTTTTCATGCAACTTGCTTCAATGCTATTGCATTTCCTCTGCACTTTGAAACTGAACCCTCTTTGATGGATATTAGTGGAACGTGCTTTTGTGTCTCCCTAATGAACTTTCACTTGCAAAGTACCCCAAACAAGGCAGATGCGAGAAGTGTACCAAGATTTTGTTTAAAGCAAACAGAGACCCTCTCTTCTGGTTGACCTCTCTTTGGTTGACCCCAGAAAAATCAACAGCCAAGAATCACAGTGGGGATCGGTTACAGTTTTGCTTTCAAGCCCCCCAGCAGCCCTTTCAGGTTGTGATTACTCAGTCAAAGGCTTCTGATCAGTGTGTGTGTTGGGGTGGGGTGGGGTCTGATAGCGTCCTCTTGCAGGTTCTCGGATACCTGGGTGGGAATCTGGCAGGAAGTGAGGGGTGGAGAGTCTTCCTTGGGCTGCTCCCGGAGAGCCCCAGAGGATAGAAGAGTTATGGTGGCGGCAGTGTTCCTTGGGGACCCCTTGGAGCAGAGCCAGATGGCAGTCCTGTGGGAATTACTGGCTTAATGAGAGGAAAAATCCACCCCACACGAAGATAGCTTAACAACATGGTGAAATCCTCTTTTAAGGGGGTCTTCTTTCCTTTTTTTGTTCCTTTCTTCTTTCTTTTCTCCTTCCTCTCTTTCCTTTCTTCCTTCTTTCTTTGTCCCTTTTTTCCTTCCTTCCTTCCAACTGAAAATCTTCTGTAGAGAACCATCATCTTAGTTACCTTCCTGTTGCTGAACCAAAATACCCAACACCAACAAGCTAAGCGAGGAAAGGATTATTGGCTCACAGTCTGTGGAGGTTTCAGTCCATACTTGGCTGGCTCCAAGGCAGGGTGGCCTGGAGACAAGCATCAAAGGGAAGAAACAGTTGATGGTGGGCAGAAGGCAGCAAAACAAGCAAGCAAAGAGCAAGACAAGCCTCTTTCTGTCCTTTATCTTGTACCCACGCTATCAGGATTAGGGCAGTGCCAAACCAATCAGTGGGCTCACTCAGTAATCACACACCCTTAATCCCAGCATCACACACTCTAGATCCGGACACCTGTGAAAAAGCCCCCACCTACAACCACAGGAGGCTCTGGGGGGACATCTAGACACAAGCAGGACAACCACTTTGCAAATGCTAATCCACATTAATTTTTAAATAAAATTATTTATGTAAAAATCTAATTATAAAAGAAATAAATGGACAGTCAAACTCAAAGCCATCACACGTGCTTATGTCAGTTTTCACGTTTGTCCCTCAGTGGGTACTTCCTTAAGGAGGGGTCAGATAGAAAAATCAGCATCTCTGTAAACAAAATCGTGTGAAGCCCCAACCCTTTAGGGTAGATCAAACATGACCATCAGAGCAGTAAGTTCTGTGTGGCCCAAGAGCAGAAGGAGCGAATCAGGGCCTGGGAAACCTGCATTCTTCTCGCTGCTGGGCCAGTCTCTGGTTGTGCAGCATGGATGAGTCTTTGCCTTTTGAGGCTCTGCTTTGTCATCAGCTAAGGGCAGACAGTGTCCGGGGCCCACCTTCTAGGTCACCAAGGTGCAACCTGGGCGCCCACACGCGACTGATCCCATGAGCCACCTGTGGCGCACGTACCTGAGAAGCAGAGATGGCCCTTCGGTCATGTCACCCATGTCACCCACGTCACCTCATCACCCAGAGCCTCACTGGGCAGCCTTGGTGCAAGGGTTCAGAATGCCCCTCTGATTTGGGCTGTGCTGCTGGCTCAGCCTGGAAGGCCCACCTCTGGCTTCCTTCTTCTGTCTTCCTAAACGCCACTCCTCTCACAAAGCTCGCAGATGCTCACTCTTTGACGCGTCCTCTCCGATTCTCCTGTCCCTGGAGGGCAATGGCCACGTTCCCCCGCACCCCCGCACCCCCTCCTCTCTGGAAGATCCAGCAGCTCTGTCTACACTCCATCGCTTCTGTGCATCACCTGACCCTTGCTACCTTCTTTCTCCGTGTGGACTGGGAAGACAGGCAAGTGCTCCGTGCCCAGTAGGCACCACCTACCGTCACCACATTCTTCATCCCAATTTTATTTAAAAAATAAAACAGTCCTCACTTTGCACTGAACCTGGTTTGCCCAAATCCAGATGCACCAGAGCGATTACTCCCTGTGCAGTTACTGTGGGCCCCTGCAGAGTGTGCACATGTTTCTGTGAATGTGGCAGTGTGCAAAGTGAAGACCGCTTGTTTAGGTACACAAGAAATATGTAACACAAAACTAATCCGTCTAATCACGAGGAAAAAAAAAACAGCAAGTCTTCGGCACTGAAGGCAGCCAGCCATGGAAAGTAAACACAGAGCTCATTTAGCAACTCATAAATCAGAGCCCTGCTAGAAAATAGCAGTGTACATCCGGTCTCAGCCTGGGAGGGGCTTCAGTGACTAGGGGACCACAGTGTTCCCCATTCGGGAACTGTGAGGTAGCTTCTGGGAGCCTGTGGATGACAGCTGTTTCTGGATGCAAGAGGCCATTGGAGCTGTGGCTTAGGTGCTACGCATGGTCCTTTTTAAATGAGATAATGTACTTATCATCCGTATCTGTCAGGAATAGCTTACAGCCCATTAAAATCAAATAAATCCACAGTCCCTGGTGTCCTGCCACTACCCACAGTGAATGCTGGGACTGTCATAGAAAGACTCCCAAAACAATACCTTCAAAGTTGTCAAAGAACCAGGAGACTGCACGGCAAATGTATTTCAGAAGCTAAAGGCTAAATTTAGGTTCTCTGCAAAAGAAAGAGACACAGAAAGCAGTTAGAAATGGTGGGAAATGGTGTTCAACAGGAGCTGAGGCAATTTTAATGGGAGCCAGGCTGTCTGACAATGCTAAGGCATGAGTGGAGAGGTGAGGTGGAGGTTGGAGGATAGGAGGGTGAGGGGTGGGGGAAGGGATGAGGTAGAGCATGGGGAAGGGGAATGGGGGTGGGGATGAGATGGAGGAGAAGTGGGGGGTGGGGGTGGGGGAGGAAGTGGGGGATAGATGGGGGATGGGGTGGGGGGGTGGACAGAGCATAAGATGCACCAAGATCCCCTCGAGATAAACTGGAACACAAGAATGTGGGCTTCCAAACCTGCAAAGCAGCTTGGTTTCCCAGCTCCGGTCCTTGGCAGAGACTCTTGCGGTCAAATGGGGAAAGCCACATCGGTGGAAAGGAATTTATAGTCACAGCTTTAGAGCCCTAAACAAGGCCAGCTGCCCCAAGCAAAGGGCAGCCTCTGGCCACCACTTCCATTTCTTCCTCATGTCTTCTTCCTTAGAGTAAAACGAGAATCCGAGCCTCTGGCCATTCCCAGAGTCTGCTGTGCAGCCTGAGTGAGGCTATGTGTGAAAACACTGTAGCAAGCAGAGGACAAGTACAAGAGATTCTTAACACCCCCCGATGGCCAGTTGGGACCCGATCCAAATCCTGAGCTTCTGAGTCCAGATAACCATTTAGCCAAGCATGAAAGAAATATGAGTCTGCTATGGGTTCGGTTGTGTCCAACAAGAAAGATGTATTGAAGTCCTCCTTCCCAGTACCTGTGAGCATGACTTTGTGGGAAACAGGGTCTTTATAATGTATGAAGTGAGATAGAAAAATATGGTGTGTGTTTAAAGAGACAAAATATATTACAGCAAAAGACACATTGCCATGCATTACCCACCTCACTTCAAACACCATGATCCCATCGTTCTTGCCACTTTCTGAAGCACTTCTGGAAGTGCTCTTTCATGAGTGTCTCCAGTTGCATGTCAAGGCTGCCTCGATGTCCTGGGTTCATTCAAAACGTTGTTTTTTCATGGTCATTTTGACTTTGGGGAAGACCCAGAAGTCATGTGGTACCAGATCTGGTGAATAAAGCAGATGAGGAAACTTTCATCATGACTTTTAGGAACCTGCTTTTCCACTGCATGGCATTGGGCAGCCACAGCCACCGAATTGTGATCACACCTCATAAAGACCCTCAGCCTGGATGTGGTGGTGCACACCTGTAATCCCAGCATTTGGGAGGCTGAGGCAGGAGGATCGTTGCAAGTTCGAGACCAGCCTGGGCTACAAAGTGAGCTCAAGGCCAGCCTGAACTGCACAGCGAGACCCTGTCTCAAAAATATTAAAAAAAAAAAAAAAAAGGTGCGTTCAAAGGGAAGCAGGGGCACAGATTGGGGTGGGACAGCTGCAAGCCAGGGATTTACAGCCACCCTATGAAGCAGGGAGTGAATATTCTCTGAGGGAATAAAAAGGGAGAGGCATTTTGCAGAAGAGGCGGGGTGTGGCAGTGAGCTGTGACAGGTTCAGAGCACCACCACACGCTTCTGAAGGGTGCACAGCAGATCTGTCATGTTCCTTCTCTTTTAGCCGAAGAGAAACTGGCTGGGCCCACAGAGCCTTCTCCTAGCTCAAGGCACCAGCAGTCTCAATCTCCGCTGCCAGGTGCAGCCACCGAGAGGTGATGCTTGAGGCCAAGCATTGAGCCCCGGGCTAGGAGTCAAGGCTGCTGGAAGCCGCACTCACCAGCACAGCCAGCCTTTCTGCATAAAGTGGGGGTCCCAGCTCTGCCTCCCGGGGTGGTCCTGGGCCGCAACTCAGACGAGACATAGAAGTGCATTGACAGATGTGAAGCACTGTGCGAATGGAAAGTGGTGAAATCATTATCACCATCATCCTCCCCCGGTTGTCAACACCTGGAGGAGGGAGAGGAAAAGAACCCTCCAAGAAGACCAGGAAAACTGGATCCAAGTGTCCGGCTGGTCAAAGGAGAGTCCGCTGTGGCGCCTGATCCTCTGGTATTGGCTGCCTGGGGAGAGTGCGGTGGAGATGCGCTGTCCTGGTGGGTAATAAAATGAGTTTACGTAGGGAGGAAGCAGGATGTATAAAGCCCAGGAGCCTGATCTGTTTCTGAGATCAAACAGAGCAGCATTGTGCCGGGGTGTAGAGCTGATGTCAGCGTCTACAATGCTGGTCGGAATCGCCCTGGTTACGCAGCTGGACCGGAATAAGGCAAGTCTGTATCTGAACTCATTAATTTTTACAACCAACTGAACTGTTCTGCCTTTTTTTTTTTTTTTGCAAGGGGGAGTGGTGTGGGGGAGGTGGTGCAAGGAGAGAACAAGGGAAGGAAGGGGAGAGGGAGGGGCCTGTATGTATGGAGCAGGGGCTTCCCACCAGCAGACACTATCTCATTATTCCCCGCAAACTCACGTCCAACCTCCAGCGCCCACGACACCAGGCAGAGCCGCTGCAGTGGGTTCTGCCAGCCGAGCAGAGCCGTGGGCCAGTGAGACCCAGGGATAATTACAGTGGCACAAGCCGCTCCTGGGAGTTCAGGTTATGTCAATGTTTCCATTATATGCCTCACTTTTCAGGGGTTTATAACGGAGCTATAAAAACTCACGCCAGCTGAGAATTTGGCAGGCCAGGTCTCACCAACCGAGGGACTTTTTTTTTTTTTAATTCAATTCAGCTGCTCATAACTCGGGGTGGGGGAGGGTGGTGTCCATTTGGATCGGGCAAAGGGACTGGGCTGACATATTGAGCGCTATTTTGCTCTCTGATGAGCCCTCCTCCTCCTCCTCCTCCTCCTCCTCACCCTCCTCCCTTTCTCCTCCTCCTGCCATTTCTTTGTGCTATAGGAAAAGAAACAGCATTATATAAATGCACCCCAAACACTTTCTGAGCCAAGAATCTATGGATACTTTCCAAGTGCTAGTTAATTCAGCTTTTCTCCATTCCTGGGAAAGTGTACAGGTCAACCCCCTTCCAAGCGAATGTGTGAACGTCTCACCCGAACCTCCGCCCAAAAGATTGTGGAGCCCTGCAGATGGGAGAGCTCCTCCAAACCCATGCCAATGTGGGGCGGCCCCTCACATCCATGGGACAGGGTCTGACTCGGTTGGTAAATATCAGTCCAGACTCATGAGGCCGGTGTGTTGGCCCCTGGGGCGCAGAGTGAAGAGAGATTTCTTCATATTTTCTCTTCCCATAATCTCCGGCTCACTCAAAGTACCCAATCCTTCCGGTGTAGAGGCTTCCCCAGGCAGAGCACGAAGCCTGCTTGGATCTTCCGGCGCTGGAGACCTGATTCCTCCTTGGCTTTCTTGTCTGCTCTCTTTCTGCTGCACCTCCCATCTGCTTGCTGTGCTGAATTTCAGCTATCTGTGTGTGTCTGTTCTCTTTTACTGCAGCATGAGCCCTTCCTTGAAGAGTTCTGAAAGACCTCAGCTCACTTTCTCCCAAGTGCCAAATTAGGGAGACTGTTCAGGAAATATGGGTGGAGCTAATTATCTAAATAATGAGTGACACTCAAAAGCCAGGTGACAAACAGCCATGGCGTAAGTCAAGCAAAGACCAGACAAGCACTTCTCTGTTTCTTCTTTGCAGAAGGGAAGACTGCACATCAAATTCATTCCTTGTCTTGCTTCTGATAAAAACACTAAACAAATGATAAGATATGAGGTCAAGCTCTCCAACCAGAAAACAGTAGTAAGATGCAAGCAATAGGGTATGATATGTCACTACGTTAACATATAATGACAATAAGAGGCCAGTGAAAACATACATGTACAAGCCTGGCACTCTGAGAGGCTGAGGCAGGAGGATTACAAGTTCAAGCCCAGCCTGGGCAACTTGGTGATTCAGTGAGACCCCATATCAAAATAAAAATATAAAAACAGGCTGCAGATATAGCTAAGTGCAAAGTGAAACTATGTATAACTATATTCACGAATACACAAAGGTACAATGAGATAAGTACATTTTATCTGTATGCACTGATTTTGCTCTTCCCTGTAACTGAGTTCACGGTCTGCTGCTGGGAAAGTGTTTTATCCACTAGGAGTAAGTAAGTGTATCGATAGAGGGATGACATTTATTACAGTGTGGCAGATAGAGCATTCAAACAAATCTGCCAGTGAATGAGTGAACTACCAGGGTAATTTAACTGCGATAAACAGTGACACTTCTTCCTCAGAGAAGGGGAAACTGCAGGTCACGGTGACAAATTTAGGTTCCATCATAAATACCCAGTTCTGACCACAGTCGGGCATGAAGGGGACTTGGTAACCCCTGTGAATTTGGAGGACTCAGCGGAGGGGGAGGGAGACAAAATGAAACAAATCAAGGGCTCTGTGAGTGTGGGGAACGTGGTCCCTATGTCAGCGGCGTCACAGCATCTGAGAACTTTAGAAACAGATTCTCAGGCCCCACTGCAGCACCGTCCACAGGGTGGACAAGGCCGTTGGGTCTGCTCCTGTCTCTCCTCACCGGACTCTCACAGACCATGTCTCCACAGAGAAATCTGAGTGTCAGGACAGTGCTCTTTTGTTCTTGAGTGAAAGGGAGAATTTATTGATTTACATAACTGAAGCAAAACCACACCTTCCTGGATTCGTTGTTGATCGGTCCAAGGTTCTTTTTTGCTCCGCACAGATGAAAATCGCACGTTGGCAAAGCGCACCTTGGCCAGCAGCTATGACGGCACCAGGTAGCACTAGGTGATGCTGGATGCCAACAGCTGACATAGCCAGCTGCTGGTCACTGCCACTGCCTGCTGTCATCATCTGAGAACAGTTAGGGGAGTTATTCCTGAGGGCATGGCACAGCTCAGATTCGAAGTCTGCCCTGATTCCAGTCCAGCACACTTCTTACTGTCACATCCAGTGGACCCAGGCATCTACCAATTCTGGTAGACACAAAGCGCTGAAGACATCCTATCACAGTGACCCATACTCACCCACGTCTGTGGCGCTGCAGCTCCCAACAGCTACCTCTCGGAAGCGGCCTATCTGCCCGTCCACAGATTATGACAAAGGAGACGCAGTATTTCCACACAATGGAGTCCTACTCTGCCATACAGAAGGGTAAACCTGCATCACTGTAGGAAAACGGGTGCACCTTGAGACTGTAATGTTAAGTGAAATAAATCAGACGCACAAGCTCAAATATCACATGGTTTCTCTTATAGGAGAAACCCAAAGTATCAAATAAAGAGCAAAGTAAAAGATAATAGAAAATAGGGAGATTGATCTTTAAAGAGGAAAGAGAGCAAGAAATGGAGAGAAAAAAAAATAAATTTTAAAAATGGAGGGAGGAGAGAGAAAGGGAAGAAAAACCAATTCAGATGTGCTATGTGCATGTACCCACTCTACACAAGGGATGTGAGCATTATGTACTACAAACATGAATGAATGAATGAGAAATTAGTATGCAATATGGAAGTAGAACTACTGTCCCTCATTTGGGCCTTTGGAGTCCTGTGCCATTCAGCTGTGCTCTGTCTCCCGTGGCCCTTCACCCATCCCGCACCTGGCCTCTACCTCTCTCCCCCACTGCCCCTGTCCATTTCCTGGGTGCCACACAGCCTCAGGGCCCTCCCGAGCCCCTCCTGCCTGGGACATCTCCTTTGCCTCTGCTGCCTGTTGAGCTTTACTGTTCTGTAAATAGTTATACAACAACCACTGCCCTCTCTGTAGTCATAGCACAGTGCGTGGACCCATTCACTATTTGTCTGAATAATAAATAACTAAAAGAATGCCTCATTTGAGTTCTTCCTCTACCAAGAGGCACCTCCAAGTTGTCCTTTCTGAGCCAACAATGCATGGCTGGCGTTCCTGCACCTGTCCTTTGATGGAGTGACATGCAGGCTTCTGTCTCCCAAAAAACTTGGGGACTTCTAAAGCCAAGGTGAAGTCCTGTGCACCTCTTTAAGCTCCCCAGCACTCAGCAGAAGGTCTTACCTTACTTCGTGAGGACTCAAAACTACCTTTGTAGCATCGAACCTGGTAACAGGAAGTACGCATCTGTACCTCAGAAAGCTAGGGTTTTTCAATGAGCTGGCGAATCCTGCCGTTGCTAATAAGGAAAGGCCTTTTTCCTACGGCTGCTGCTGCTGTAGGAGCTAACTCTCCTGTGGATCATGCTGGTGGGTTTTACCTTGCCCAGTGCTTAGCTAATCCAATTCCGAGAACCCGGCATCTCTGCTGGGGGTTGGAATGGAGCCATTTGGGGGCACTGAGCAGAAAACCTGGCTCCCTCTGGGAGGTGTTTACGCACCTGCTCCACGGCCCACGACGAATGACACTGGCCGACTCACAGCACGGTCCCCTGGCACACCACGTACCTGCCCTTCCCTCCCACCCTGAGTCCATGAGCTGACTTCCAAGAATATTTGGAAAGTCCATGCATTTTGCAGCCTCCTGAAAGTATCACCGGACATCTTTAGATGTGACACTGAGCCACAGATGATTTCTTTAAAAAGATCTTTAAAAGAAACACCTCTTTGCAATACATTTTGCATATCCAGAGAATGGATAGTGAGGGTTTGAAAGGAGGCTGAAAGACCTCAGGGAGGTTGATTAATAAAATCTGACAGATTTTATTATTTATTATCTTGACAGAGCATACCATGGCTTCAAGGAAAGATTATTAACATAAACATGAAAGAAGACGGTAATACTACCTTCAGCTGCTACTGCTGTGTGCTTCCCAGTATTTTTCAGTATTTTCCGGAATCCATCCCAAATAAGTAGCCAGTGGGGATTTCTTGAATATCTTCCACACCACAGCCCCAATCTATGAAATGGAAAGAGAGAAAGAAATCCGAATACATGCTGCACTCCCGTGCACTGTTCAGGTTTTAAGAGTCTAAAAACACCTTCCATACTTGATCTCATTCGATACGAGGAACTGCTCTCATTTTAGAGATAAGAAAATGGAAGATCCTATAGCCAAGATCACATGGTTCACAGCACACAGAGTTGGACACGAGCTTAGATCTTCTAATTCCAAGTCTTGTGATCTTATGTCCCTACCCTTCTACTACAAAGACTCGGGGTGCTTTTAATCAATTTATAACCTACAACCTCCTCGCACAATGTGAAAAGCCTTTGACGACGCCTTCTTCAAAATTTCCAGGAAAAAAAAGCATTGAAAAGATGTTCTTAACTTCCTCTATTTATTTGAAGATCCTCTCTGAACGATCCAGAGAAGAATAAAAATGGAAAAAGCTTTGTGGACAAGGAGAACAGCATTAAAGTAACTTTGGAATCCAGCCAAGGGTGCCTTCCACAGGGTAGAAATTCTGAATCTGTCCTAGGGGACACGGTTTAGAAAGACCCAGATGAAGACAGACTCTGAGGACAGATCTTCGCCCTGAGAAGCCGCAGTGGTTACAGGAAGTGAATGGCAAAGAGACTGAGGGCGCCCCCCACCCCAACATGACTGTCACCCTCCCTCTGCCCAGCGCTGAGGCACCGAGGGCGCATTGCGTGAGCTCACGGGAGAAGCCATGCACATCATCAAGATGACAGGAACTGAAAAGCACAGAAAGAAGCAGGCTTCCCCTCAACAGCAGCTCAAGGCGGGAGATGGAACCGAACACGGCTTCATCCTAGGATGGACGTCAGGCACAAAGGAAATGAACGAGGAAGTCAGCGCCCGAGCTCTGCTGCTGGCGAAAAACCACGTGCGTGGGATGGGAATGCCAATCGCTACGCTTGCGGTGACGCCCGCTGCTTCTGCCCACTTCCATCGCCCCTCTCCTGCTCCAACTGCCCCCATTGCAGTTTCCTTCCCGTGCCCTCCTCCGGCTGGACCTCCAAAGTGGTCCTCTGGGTTCATTTCCAGCAGTCAAGTCTACTCACATTGTTTATGAACAAACACCACGAGTAGATACAAAGAAAGGAAAACTAACATAAAGATTATAAAAGACCGAAAATCCAGAGCTCAAAATACAGAGAAGGGCGGTATCTTTCCCAATTACAGAATTTAGAAAGCAATTAGGAAACCAACATTTCTATTCCATGGAAATTTAAGAAAAAGAGGAAATCAAATAATAAGAGGTGAAAGAGATAAAGCCAGCAAGGCTCAGAGGAAGTAAAAATGCATAAGAGCTAAGGAAATGAAAAGAGAAATAGCAAATTCCAATTACACTCAATGCAGTGAAGAATAAAATGGGCCCTTCAAAGAAATCAAAATTGGCCGGGCGTGGTGGCGCACGCCTGTAATCCCAGCACTCAGGAGGCTGAGGCAGGAGGATCATTGGAGTTCAAGACCAGCCTGGGCTACAAAGTGAGCTCAAGGCCAGCCTGAACTGCATGAGGAGACTCTGTCTCAAAAAGACAAAAGAAAAATCAAAATTGGTGATGCAGAATAGAAACTTGAAAAGCTGCTATAAAATGAAAAGAAGAAGACAAAAGATTAAAATAATGACAGAAAAAGTGTTGGGCTTGAAAAACAGATAATAAAGAACATGTAGATAAGAGAGGTTTGTGATGGGGGAAGTAGAATAATAAAAGAAAACAAAAAATATAAAGGAAGAAAATTTTCCTGAGCTGATATACGTATAAGGATCAAGGTCACCTTCCTGACACAAATGCAGCACTAAATTTTAAGAGAAGCTGGGAAATAAACTTCTATTCTACAGTCATATGCTCATATGCATATCAGAAATTATATTATTAAGAAGGTAGCGGCACACATCTCAGCACTCAGAAGCCTGAGGCAGAAGGATTGCGACAAGTTCTAGGTGACTCTGAGCTACATAGAGCACTCAAGACCAGACTGGAGCACATCTACAAGACTCTATTTCAACCCCCACGCCCATTAAAAAAAAAAAAGTAAAAATAATAAATTGAAAATATGGGTAGGCACAGTGACACAGGCTTGTGGTCCCTGCTACTCTGGAAGCTAAAGCACAAGGGCAGCTTTAGTAAGAGTTCAAGGCCAGCCTGGGCAACATAGTACAACCCAGTCTCAAAAAAGGAGGAGGAGGAAAAGGAGAAAAAGGAGAGGGGAATGTGGATTTGAGGGAACTACTACCGACTACCATGACTGAACAAAAATGTGTATCTACAGATCAAAGCATCTCAGTGAGTACCCAGCAAAATTACACCAAAGACTCTAACTACCAGATATATCCAAGTTTAAAACCACCAAACAATTTTATAGTTACCTGAGTGGGATTTTAAAACGTCAGTTTACCTCCAAAGGCAGAAAAATCAGATGAGCCTCCAGCAGCACTGTAACGTTAACGTCAGCTGACCCTGGTGAGATGTCTATAGTTTTACATGCAAAAACGTCCCTGCCAGTCAAGAACACTAAACTCATCCAAGTGCCACTGGTGTCTAAGAGAAAAAGAACATTGTCAGTGACTTGAAGATCTCTAAGGTAGATCACTCACACCTTACTGAAGAAAGCACTTACCCGTGCTCCAGCCAAATACTAGGGTTCGGATCAGTGTCCCAGCAGGCTATGTGCTAAAGGCGTGGTTCCCAGCCCCCAGCACCTCCCAGAGGCACTGGACCCTCAGGAGGCAGAATCTACTGGGAGATTTACAGTTACTAGGGACACACACCTGCCAGGAATATTGGGACCTCAACCCCTCTTGTCTCTTTGCTTCCTATCTACCATAGATTCTATACTGGGCCACCACAGGCCCAAAACAAAGATGCCATTATTATTTGTATTAATGCTAAGAAGATATTTTGGGCCAGGGATATAGCTCAGTGGTACAATCATCTGCCTGGCAAGCACAAGGTCCTGAGTTCAATTCCTGGTACCAAAAAAAAAAAAAAAAGAAGAATATATTTTAAGAAAAAAGACAGCATGAGCAACTGGGCTGGAATAAGAATTAATTAGTAACATACACAGTGGTACCTCAGTTCATGAACACTTTTGTCTGTGAACAATTTGGTTTGCAAACAGAAGTGTTTGGTAAAATTTTGGTTTTGTTTGCAAACTCCGCACTGAGTGACAAACATGACCATGGCCACCTTTCCTCCACAAACACAAATGTGGACATTTTTTCCAGAATTGTAGAACAAATTAAGTTCGTGAATATATTTTATATGTATATCCAAGATATATACCTAAAACAGACAAAGAAAAGTATTCAAGTAAAGAAGGATAACCTAACAACTATAGAACTTGCACAAATAATCAAGTCATAAAGAAATTAGGGTAGGGGCTGGGGGTTTAGCTCAGCGGCACAATGCCTGCCTGGCAAGCGCAAGGTTGTGAGTTCGATTCCCAGTACCAGAACTGCCCCCCCCCAAAAGAAATTAGGGTCATGAGCTTCAGTGTCAAAGTAGAATTGAAAATGAAAAGCTTAAGTGAAATTTAGACAAATATTGACAAAGTGAACAACGCAGAAAGAAAACTATCATGAACCGTTATCGGCCAAGTCAGGCAGAATAAAAATGCACAAAAATTCCTGGAAAGTCAGGGAATAAATGACAGAAATGAAAAAGTCATGGGAGATCTGAAGGCCCTGTCTTTGCCTTCTCAGAAAAGTAACCACATCCAGTGATGGTGAGTTAAGAAACACTCCAAATGCATGTTAGTCATGTAAGACAGATTGCAACAACATTGCTCATTGTAGAGGCTATGCTTTTCTTTTCTCTTTAACCTTCCTCCCTCCCTCTTCCTTTCTCTCTCTCTCTCTTGGTCTCACTCTTACTCCTGTTTTTTTTTTCTTCCTGGCACTGGAGACTAAACCCAGGGCCTTTGTTCTGAGCTACATCCCCAGTTCCTTTTTAAAAAAATTTTGACATAGAGTCTTGCTAAGTTGCCCAGGCTGGGCTCAAATGTGAGATCCTCCTGCCTCAGCCTCCCAAACTGCTGGGATTACAGGTGTGCACCACCACGCTTGACTGAGGCTGCATTTTTCTTAATGAAAGCAGATGTCTCTGAGCCTCTTCAGCACTCACCATATCATAGATTTATACCTAGCTCTCCTGTCTCTGAATCTCATCTGCCCTTAACCACTAACAACCATTCTCCTCTGTGCACATTTAACCACACCCATGAACACTAAAGCCTAGGGACGTTCTCTTGCTGATATGGAGGAAAAGAAATAGTATGGGCTGTCAGATGTGGAAAACCTGGGCAATATTTCAGTGCACTAGTCCCAGTGAAAGATGGAGTAACAGCATGAGGAGGTTCAGGATCTCCAAAGCCGTGTCACTCCCTAAAGCTACACAGTGCTTCCACAAAAGGAAGTGAAGAGATGGGGAGACAAGCTGGGGACGCTTTGAACTTGTGACCATGACAAGGTGGTCCGCAGGAGATGGTCTGCCTGCTCTTGGAAATGTGCAACAGCATCTGGGTAAGCAACGGGAATCAGAGGGCAGCCGTCACCAAAGTGATTAAAGCCGTACGATTCAAGTTACCTAGGGAGATGATGCAGGATCTCAAAAGCCGAGGAGTGCGGGAGAGAGATGTCCACAGATGCTATGACAGGGAAGGTAAAGCCAGCAAGGGCTGCCACCAGGGAGCTCCTCGTGGTTATCAGGAAATCCTTTCCAGTTAAGTCCAATCGGGCCTCCCACCATGTCGGCTCTGCCCTCCACAAGCCTCACAGAGTTCCCCGCCGCTCCCAGTGCAGGAAGAGCCTTTGGAGAAGGCGCCCTGCTCTCTGAGGAAACCACACTCATCATTAGCCCAGCAAAGCAAAGCCCTTGGCAAAACCTTTGCTGCCAACGTAGTAGTCACTTCTGGATGTGGAAGTTCTTACGACAGGGAAGGAAAGTAGGGAAAAGCTCTGGAAGGAGAAGCCCAGTTCTGCCCAGACT